TCTTTTAATATACTATCAAAAAGGCACGTTCTTGCGATTCCTCGAATTTCGGCGTGCTGAATCAAATTACAGTTATTTTCGGATGCTATAGTAAATATACAGTTACGATGATTCAGGTCCCTCTTAAGTATAATTTCACCTTTTAGACGTAGAGAAACGAATACGATGAAACGGAGAAATTAAAATAATAATTACTCGTTACAAAACAAATAATATTCATGGCTTCTTCAGTTTCCCGGGATTTACTCTCGCTACGTGCTTCTAGAAATTTGTTGGTTTTGCTAACGAAGTTTAGATGTCTCAAGCACACGGTGTCCGTTTTCCTACTTCATCGCTGATATTTCGCACGCAGGTATGACGCAAACTATCAAGTAGTACGTACAAAGATGTAAAAGGTGGTCCTTGTAATAGCAAGAACCGTATATCCGTTTGTCCGACCATTCTCTTAGCGTCGGACACGCTGTCGGTCACGTGCGTCCGACTGCCAACTCACGTGGCGGCAGGCGTGCGTTAGAAGATAACGCGTGTACATATCTCACGACCATGAACAATATTTTAACACCGGTTTTTTAGAAATCAATTAGAGCTAAAATTTTAATACAAAAATTCGAAGTTATAATTTTCATTATTTATTCATATTTTTTCGTTCAATCAAAATATACATTCAGAAGAAAGTAAGTATCTAATGAAGGAATGATTCGCGCAAAGAAGAAAAATCGCGAGTATTTTCAGATCCAAAAATATTATCGTTGCTAACATTTTTTCATTAAAAATCTTTAACCGAAAAGTCTTTTAGCAAATGCTTGCTGGCACGTGAGTAGAGTGTGACTGATATAGATAACATAATGAATACACAGACATATCTTACACACAGGATCATTAAACGTTTACATTAATCTGTGGTACTCTACGCAAGGCAAGGAATCTATGAGAAAGTTATTACATTTAGCTGGAATATTCACACAGGTTCATTGCCTCATTATCAGATTAAAATTAAAGATAATCGAGCATTCACTGGCACGTCGCGCTGCAGCGAAGTTGTAACACTATGTTGATCTGTAAAATACAAAAAATCCAAATTATAATACATTCAAAATAATTCCAAAATATTTAAAAAAATAATTATTACATCGAATTTTCTATTTGCCTTTTAGGTAAACATTTCATAAAATAGTTACTTAATATTCGTCTTCTTTTAATAATATACAAACTTTTCATGAAATTTTGTAAGTATTTTTATATAAATTGAAAAAACAATATGAGTAATTGCGGGAAGTAGAAATTGGGAGAGATTAATTCTGTAACAAATGTGTATAAATTGTAATTAATTTACCCTAAACTATAATTTAGTTACTGTATAGCTGCCCTGCTGTTACCCGATATCTTCCAGACCTCTCAAGTTCCTAATTCATTACACTTACGTAACACTTACTCGCGAAAACACAGTTAATTATGTTCGCACGTTAGTCGCGTTATGTTCACGGAATGTAGAATACGATGATTGCACGGCACTCCCGGCATTAATCGCATACGACACGCACTTTACCGTACTGCGACGAAAGAAAGAATACTTATGAACGCGGAAAAAGTACGATCGCAGGAAGCTACGATCCGCTCGACGTCTCGCAACGAAAGAACATTAGATTATAGAGTTTTAATAAATCACTGGCGTTTTGAATATCAAATTAATGCTATGCACTTCATCAATATTAACATACGAAGTTAATTACAATTCTTCTCATTAATTGAGTACTATCGATTCGTAAGGCAAGGTAAAGCATTAAGTAAATATCGATTCGTTTGGCAAGGATAGAAAAATTCAAAACCGACGTTAAAAGATACATGATCGAAGTTGAACATTCTATTTGCAAGATATTTCGAACATATTTTCGTAAAATATTATTGTTCACTTAGGAATCACTCGATTATTTTTGCATAAACGATATCGCTTAAAATATCTTTATATCCTAATTAATATCATTATTAACAACCTATTACTGATTGTTTTCCAATTATTATTATTTGAGATACAGATTTAATCATAATTTTCTGAAAAAAGTAAAGAAAAGCTAAATATTGAACGTTAAATAGCTTAGTACTTAAAAAAATTAAGATTTTAATTAATATAATGCTTTTTTATTACGAGATTTGGAATTGCATATTTAAAAGTTTGTAAAGTTATTAAAAAAGAGAATAGTTATTCAGATCTAGGCATCTTTAAAGAAATGATAACCGTCCGCGAAAATCACGATAAAAATGCTTATTCATATGCTCCTGTTACTCTGGCTACTTGGATTCGATTTAAAATGAATAAATCGCGCAAAAAATTTCATAATAATCACTAATGTAAGAAATACTCGTGTCTGGCATACTCTTGCTATTTGTGATCATGCGAGAGAATATACGCTGCCTATCATATACGCTACCTCGAATGTGAATGGATAATAAGGTGTATAACGGGCGCGATGTACAACGACACGAGTGCATGGTGCGTCAGAAAAACAATATTAAGTATCAAGCGCCGAATGCTGTTAAGGTGCTTCTACATGATTCGCAAATCGCAAAAAAAAAAAACAGTTCGCAAACGCAGACGCTGAATCAAGATTTGCGTTTGTTTTTTCATTGCATGCAGTTGGTTTTCATTTCACATCTCTTTCTCTTGAAAAATAGTTATACCAAAAAATATTTGAATTTATCTAAAAGCATTTATGACTGTTTAATCATTAGTTTTTAAATTATCAAAATCAGAAAAATATACTTTCTTTTTAAACAGACCGCATCTTGTTCTATTTCATTTTTAGACGAAACAATTCACTATATAAAATAAATAAGTATGGTCGATTTGTAAATACAATGCATTATATAGCGCACTTCTTTTCTCGCCGTCAGTTTACTTTCTTTTACGCTCGCACGAGCGCGACCCATGTTAGCTGTGCCAAAAGACATTTATACGACGTGAAAGAACAAGAAAGATTGGGTATTGCGGAAGCAACTTGTCATTTTCCGGTTGGTTGACTGGACAAAGCTACCCAATGGATATTGAACTCACGAATCTCACCATGGACTTGTCGCTTAAATGGCGAATGAACGCGACGTTACGCATGATAGAGGGTTACAACGCACAGCACATTGAATACCTAAACAATATTTTTATTACGTAAATTCTTCAGTAAGTGTCTTCAGAGGTCTTCGATTTCCCGCAGTATCCCAATTATTCCAGCAGAAGAGTCAAAAGAGTATCAATCGCGTATGAAATAGTTTTATGAGAAATATTACTATTCATTAAATATAGCATCTTTTGTATGTTTAACGTATTGTTTCAAACGTATGCGTGCACTCACACTGGCCTATGGCGTGGTCAAAAGTAATAATTTAAACAATTTTATTTGCGTATCTGTTGGTGCCACCTTTACCGGTTCCCACGATCGAACGCTTTCTCTCTCGAACCCGTTCCGTGGCACCTGAAGCGCGAGATTTGATGTTGCTTGCAAGATTTAGCGTGAAAGATCGATACGTTCTCAATTAACACGAAACAATAGCGCGCCCGAGTTGAAGGGCGACGATTGAAACATCTTCTTTGTGAAAATTTCGTAAAGATACTGTACACACTTCGGAGCAACTGAGTTTTTCTGAAGAACCATCAAGTTCATCAAGTAGAAAATCAACTCTTTGTGAAATTTGAATCTTCGACGCTTTTTGCAAATGCAATTAAATAACAGAAGATGAAGGAGAGTACCGATGCGAAACGTTATAGGTATTGCCGGTCGGTTGTAAGAAATCATTGAGCAAGCGAAAGTAATCATCATTATTCTTGGTTTACCACACGTATCTGCGCGTGTCTCAAAGCAAACACATATTCTCGAATGGCCGCATCGACTATTACACGGCTAGTTAACTCGTTACTTGCAATGTGAGAAATTAATTCATAACTGCCGCGACAGATTTCGACAAATTGCGTGGAGCGTTTGCTTCCTCGTCGTACATTGTTCATTATTTTTTTAGGCTTTCACCGGAAAAAGATATTCATATGATTCATTATTTCCTGACGCAAGTATCGCAAAGCAATTGAATACGCAATTAAAAAATTTTATTTTAATAAAAAAAAGCGTAAGGAATCTTGATTTAGTTTGAAATCGATTTCTAATCCCACAAGAAAAAACGGTTTTGCTAAAGTGTTTAAAAATTTAGTTGGATAAAAATAATTTTGTTAAACTACAGAAATAATCACGTAGGACATTTAAACATGATGAATAATGCAAAAGTTTTTACGTTCTAATAACCAGCTTGAGCGTTTTAATTTTAATAATTACGATGGCTCAACAAAAATATTTTCAGATCTGTGTCTAATTAAACTTTTAAATACTTGAGCAAAACCGTTCTTTCTTTACAATTACTTATCTCCGTTTTAAGAGATATCTCTTTGTTAGTCTTCATAATCACATCTTTTCATTTCACACGTTTCGCATATCATAGTATTGTTCCGACTAAGTTATACAGTTCGTAATATATGATGTCGCCCACTATTGAAAGTGAGATTGAAATCGTCTGTTTTGCATTGGTCGACGACTTGGTTACCTTGATATCCGCGTCGCTCTCACAAGACACTTAAAACTTACGACACGTATCGTCAAGGTTAACGTGGACACCCACCAAATGCTATATATCTACGTCAGAGTCTTCATTATTCCGGATGATAAGCAACATATTGTAAATAACTGCTGATTTAAAATACGTTTCAGTTGCGTAAGTACGTATTTTTAAGCATCAAATTCTAACTCCTAGAAAGCAGTAAGATCAAACGTACTTATGGATTTGCAATGCTCTTTTTATTGCGGAATGTTGATGACCCTATCCATCATTGTGGAATCTCGTTGGCGCAATACACAACTTGTCGTCGCTATTAAACGAGCCCCGCCGAGATTACCCGGGAGCAATCATCGTTCTTATGGCGAGAAAAATCTTTCGGGTATTAGCCGCGGGTCGCAGACAGCGCGACATGAATGGACGAATTGTTCTTGCGAAACGAACGCAAATCCCTCGAGGATTTCTCTTCGTTCGAGTATCGCGCAAGAAAACGAGCTCAAGGTAGCCCTTGCCTATGCAACCGCGATTATGCAGCTGCATACGTGGAAGTCGATCGTCAGGTGGGCCCCGAGTATCTCCTTACTGCTTTTACGAATGCGAGTAAACGCACCTTCGAATACCAGAAGCTGGAACTTACGTATATCGTGCAAGTGCGGGAAACTATGCGGGAAAATTATGCGTGAAATCATGCAACTCGAAAGTAACAGAAATGGTTCGTCGACACGTCACACTGCCATCCGAAATGCTTTCGCAACCTTATTCAACGTTCGCTCACGATCCCACGTTACGTGGCAGTTATAGCTTCGTCAAGGAACACGTATACGCATACGGATCAATTTGTTCTATTTATGCGAAATTTTATCCCTGAGTTAATATGCATGATGAGTCGATGCGACAGATTGGTGTAATCATGAGAGACACAAGCGCATTTCATAACGCGACTCAAGTCGCATCGAAATAACGTGTGCGCGCGGCGCACGTTGTCGAACACGAATTCTCTCTCCCACGTACATCGACGCGACCGCGATCGTTACCGATTGTTGAGTAACGTGACGCGACGACCGCTTACCGCGAAACGCGACGACCGGTTTGCCGCGAAACGGCTTGGTTAGCCGGAGGCCAGACGTCGGGAAAAGAAGGGCGACGCGAAGTCGACCAGCTGACCCAATGTGGCCGGGGACGAGGATGACCTCGGTACGTCGGTCCCGATTACCGCGGGTACGGAGAAATGCTCGTCGTCGAATAAACCGGATGTCACCTGCCCCGGTAGCTTCGCGAGTTCAACGTCACGGGATCATTGGGTAACGATCGCGATTCCTCGACGTTCTAAGGCTGCTTGTCATTTAAGAGGCACAATCGACATAAATGTCATTCTATCTTTGTTATTCATTGAATGTCGAGAAGGATAAAACGACGAGAAACCGGAATGTGGAAATGGTTCCGTGACAAAACGTTTGTAAACAATCGTACTTGGTAAAAGAATGTCTGATAATACATAACAGATTCGTTGTTGACTCTTTTCTACGTGGATCAACCAGTCACTACAATCAAATCATAAACGCTATAATATAGAAAGGCACTTAAGGCTAGTCAAGATGTAGCGTATTCAGTCACGTGTACATGCAAGTGCATAGGCACTCACGTGTACGCGGGAAGAACACGACGTAAAGATATTCCTTGCGAGAAAAGGAGTCGGTCAGATAACTGTACGTCGCGGCCTCCGGACGACATCTTCGATGTCGCGTCTGGAGAGCCTCCCC